CAACTAAACAACCGCGCCACAAGCTGGAAACTCCATCCACAGACCACCAAACACAGACCAAAGGCAACAGAGATATACTAACCTACTGTATAACTACAGTACCCTGACATTACACTATGCAATCGACTAACAATGCAAACAGTCAAACGCTGTGTATGATCTGCCCAATAACAGTTTCCTTTCTGTAATGCTACCTTTTGATACTCAATAAACACAGAATGTTTTAAAAAAAAAAAAATGGTCTGCAATACCATAAAAAGTGTATAATTGTACAACTGAGCACGATCTCTTGCTTCCTAATATAAAAAATTATACAAAAACAAAGTGCAATGATGATTTTAAAAAAATCCTCCTTGAAGTTTCAATTTAGATGAAACAACAAACTAATGGCTGTGCTACTCAAACAGCTGGTGCCTGGGAGGACTGAGTCCTGGAGTACATTGGATCCAATATGGATGATTGATTCACAATTTCAATAGGGGCAGCAAGATCTCCAGAATCCAGATCAAAGCCTTTACTGCAATATTCCACAATAAAAAAAAATATAGAAAATCCAGTGTAGTTTGCCTTGTACAAAGGTGTCATGCATCCTTAGTGAAATCTGTTGCTGTAAAGTAATGCATGCCACAATTCGAACGCACACTATATATGGTATTGCAAACCATATTTCTTTAACATTGATTTCTGTTGACTCTTGGATGCCAAGAAAATGTAGTTGCTACATGAGAATCGAGTCATCACTTTGTACAGCACTTTATGGAATGTTGTACAACTTTGATTTATACCAATTAGCTCTTTTATATGTTTGTACATGCATTTTTTAAGAAGTGAATTTTGCATGGTTTAATAAGTGACAATCATTCACTTAACTGTAAGCATGTGTTTGAATTTCTATACTCCATATATTTTTCAGACGACACAGATATTTGCTGTGTATAGGGAAGCATAATATTTAGTACACTAGGAAGTCACCATTCCCTTTTAACCTATTGCAGGTTTAAAGTAATCCCTGCTACATTTTCCATATTATTCCTTTAGATTGCAAACATAAGAGCCATTTTGTGCGGTACTATCTGCAATGGGTTAGTAGTTTGTATGTTGTAAATCAAGATGCTTTATATAGGAAAATAAAGTATTCACTCACCAGTTGTTAAAGGAACACTAGAGGGTCAGGAATACAGTTGTGCATTCCTGACCCTATAGTGTTAAAAACACCTTTTAGGTGTCAGTCCCCCTTAAAAAAGTAATAAAGTTTTCTTTATTCCAGCACCACGCTTGTCCACTGGTGATGGCTCCACCCCCACCCTGCCTCCTTGGCTGACATCTTCAGAAATGCCAATTCAATGCTTAACATTGGATTGGCTGAGATTATCAATGTTGATGATTTCAGCCAAGGAGGCGGGATGGAGGGCAGAACCAAACGTCATCCTGGCCAATCATAATCTCCTCATAAAGATGCATTGTATCAATGCATCTCTATGAGGAATGATCAGCGTTTCCATGCATGGAGTGAAGACGCTTGATGTCAGTGCTGTCTGTGTGATTGCCACCAAAGGTGTCTCTGTGGAGTAATGCAAACACTGCCTTTTCTTTTAAAACGCAGTGTTTATATGAAAATGCCTGCAGGGACAGACTATAGTCACGAGAACAACTACATTAAGCTGTAAATGTTCTGGTGACTAACTATAAGTGAATGAGTTTGGGAAAAAGTAGGTCAATATTAAAGGAGTTAAAATATCTCTGAATTAGACACTTGTTTCCTGTTTGGGTACTTTTCGTTTACTTTTTAGTTTAAGCTAGTTCTCCACTCACTTGTCACTGAATAAGAAGATTTGGAATGAAATGATGTGAGACAAAACAGCATAAGGTTTACATATATTTTTTTTAAAGTTGTAGGGCATTTTTATCTGGTACAAAAGCTAATGTCTATTGTCTATTAATCTGTTTTTATATTTGTTAGGTTAGTTTTCCAGACAATGAATAAAGTATTTGCATGTCGGCTAAGTGATATCGCATTTCATATTTGCATGTCGTATTTATCAGATTTCATTTTTTTTTCTTTCAATGGGAGGCAAGATTTGAATGAGAGCGAATGAGCTAAATTATTTTATCTAGAACCATACTGGTGACAGTTTGCAAAGGATATCCACCGTTCATCTGAGTTCTTTGAGAGAAACATGTTAACTATCACAGAGATTCTGACATTGACTTTCGATATGGTAGCTTTGGTGGGTTCGGGCTTGTGCCAAATATTTGTGGCTGTAAATCTATTGGACATGGCAAAAAAAAGAATTTCTTTAGCTGATCAACTCATCGCTGGTATCTGTATCAACAACCTTGTGTATGGTTTCCTTAAAGTCATTCGTTATGCTCTTCTTTTTTGTGCAATGAATGGCAACATTTTATTTCTAATCGAAGGTATAATTTTTGTAATGACTTTGATTGTATATTCCTGCAGCCTTTGGTTTTGCACTTGGCTGTGTGTTCACTTCTGCTTGAAAATCATTAACATCAACCACAGATTCTATGTCTTTCTCCAAAAGAGATATCTTGAGATGTTCCCATGGCTTTTTTTCCCAACAATATTTGGCTCTGTCTTATTGTGTCTACCTGTTGCTTTTGCCTTAGAAAAAGATTTATCTTCAAATACAACTCTCGGAACTGATATTCCAGATGTGATCTTTCCTGTTAATTTCCAAAGAGACCATAATTTATTTCTGACTTATTTTACAGTGTCCGCTCTTGGTGTACTCCTGTGTTCAGCAATAGCTGTGGCCATCGTTACGTCTCTGTGCAGACACATGAGACAGATGCAACACAATGCCGAAGGATCTGGTTGTCCAAACATGAAAGTCCATGTAAATGCAGCCAAGACTGTCACCTACGTAGTAGCACTTAATGATATTAAATTTGCTCTTTTAATTATGTCACTTGTTGAAGAAAACTCAATATTTTATGTATTTCTGTTATCTGCAGTGACTTCTCTTTTTAATGTTATTACTTCTCTGAATTTAATAACTAAAAATAGTAAATTAAATAAAAGACTACTTGACATGTTAGATTATTATCATTGTGTTAGATATTAATAAGCCAATGATAGCTTAAAGCCAGGCTTCGAGCACTTAACTATATTGTCACAATATGTTTGTCTCCCTATCTGTCTGCGTCTGTCCATTCCTCTGTCTTTCATACATATAAATATACATATTAGAAAGGGACGCATTGACAATAATTGAGTGCTGATAAAATGACCAAAAGATATATACAATGAGTAAAAAAAATTGGTGCACATCTATATTTGTTTTAATATTATTAAATATGAAATAAAACACCTGTCTCCTAAGATAATTTAATCATGTATATAGTCATATTTGCTTGACCTACTTTCAAATTAGAATACCCCAATAATGGTGATATATTGAACATTTAAGAATTGATAGCTTGCACACTGTGAGGGTATATGCTGGTTCTTTATGTATTGTGTATATGAAGTCACAAACATTCAGAGAATACAATCCATATCATGCCACAGCATTTTTTTATTGCATGGATTTTTATTAGGGCGTGCATCCCAGGTTTTAATAAGAGGCCATCACAACAGCAATTTAAATGTGTTACAAAATAAATTTGTATCAAATAAACTAAAATTTAATGATGTGTGCTATTTTTTTATTTTTATTTTTATTTTTTACTGTCCAGCTGAATTTTACTTACAAAATATTGTTAGACAATATATACATAAGAAAGAGAGCTCAAAGATCCATAATCAGGGCATATGGAACAAGGGGTTAACCCTTAGTGGAATTACAACTGAAGACAAAAAGAGATATGCCCTGAATTAACCTATATTTGAACATATAGCATGTAAAGCCATCTAAAAAATTAAATTCAAAAAACATATATCTAAAACTTAACATTTATTAAAGTTATAAAAAAAAAGTGCATGAGAGATAAACAAAATAAATTTATATATATATATACATATATATATATATATATATACACGCATATATACACACAGGGGTGTACCTAGATTATTTAGCACCCGCCCCTCTCCTCCCCTCCCCCCAATTTTTTTTTAAAATGTAAAAAACAACCGCACTTTTTTAAAATGTATTTAGCACTTAGAAGTGTTTGTGTGTTTGAATGTTAGCATGTTTTTGTATGGAGTATGTGTGAGTGAATGTAGGGGTGTGTTTGTATGTAGTGTTGGAGTTTGAATGCAAGCATGCATTTGTGTGTGCTGTGGGTTTTGAATGCAGTGATGTGGTTATATATAATGGTGGGGTTTGTATGTAGTGTTGACGTTGAAATGGGGTGTTTATGTGTAGTGTTGGCGAGATGACACACTAACACACATGCAGACACAGTGACGACTATTGGAACAATATATGAGGGGGGACACAAAAGATACAACAGTCAAAACTGGAGGGGGACACACACTAAAACTTATCACTAGTGGATGGGGTAATGTGCTGCCATTGGCTGTCTCATGCTGTGCATGCTGGCATCAGACAATAAATATGCATATAATTCACATTAGCCACCCAGATTTCTTGTTGTGGGCTGGCTGACACCCTTAACTTTGATCTTTGTTGGGGGCGGGTCCTGACAGCCAAGATGGCCAAACATGTTTGTTAACAGCTCCTGAATATTTGAATCTAATCAAAGCTTTTACTACTCGAATCGACTGAAACTCAGAGAAGAGTAGATGGTGGATTGATCTTACAACGAGTGGGCACTCATGGGTATCCTTTCTACTCCTCGGGACCAAGGAAATTCACTGTCTGAACATGCGGCCTAGCAGGACTAACAGCCTGGTGACTGGTGGAGGCGGCCGATCTCCCAGCGCAGGGCTTGTTTTGATCGGTGGTTTGTCTGCTGCCCTGCAACCCCCTCCTCTGGACCGGTGAGGGTTATCTTCGTCCCCCCTGGCTTTCCCCATAGACTCACACCGCAACCAGGCAACCCACATGGTGCACACGGCAGATATACATCAGATGGCGGACAAGTTCTCTGTACAGAGGCACAAACTGTACAGGCCAGAGTCGGCCCTACAGGGTCTGCTAAACAACATGCTACAACGTCTTGAAAAAGCGTTCCAAAGATTCTGGCAACGGCTCAAGGCTCGGATGTCGACCCCACATACCCAGCATCAAGTGAGAAAGCATAATGTTGGGAGCCGCAACCCCACAAGAAAATGTGAGACTAGGTCCGTGCCTGCCACGGCTGAGGCCCACTCCGACCAAAAGAATGAAACCTCGATGGCGGAGAATCAACACCCATATGCAGCGGCTGCCGGGCACACGACCTCCAAAGTCTCACCTGCCTGTACACGTACTCAGGAACCTACGACATACACGTGGCTCTGGGCCCTGTGGTAACCCACATCAAGCAGCACGGACCGCACCGCCGACACCAGAGGAAAGCAGCGTATCACCATTCACTACAGAGAAGCACCCGCAAATCAGTCAGGAGAACCCCCAGCCAGACGGCAACACACAATGCAATGCTGAATGCCCCACATCATCTGATATGCCATCAAGGTACTCTCATACTGGGACTTACCTCACTAGGCTGGCTGACTAGCTCCACTAGCTGGGACTTTGACTTGCCCTTGAAAGGCATTGGCTGAAGGACACCTTGACTGTCCAAATGTGGGGCACCAGGCTCAATACCATGCCGCAATACCCTGCCTCTCCATACTCCCAAGCAACTGATAATCGGACTCTCACGCCTATCACAAGGGGCCTAATGGGGATGACCCTATCTATTAAGATTTATGCTACTATGTACATTTATTGTCTTCCATGTGAAGTTCAGTTACGCTTTTTAAATTCACTACAGTAGATCAAACTAAACTTGCTTGTTTACTCCTGTTTCAACCCATCTTTAGCTGCAGACATGGTAGCTTGCACACTCTTAAGAAACAGAAACAGCTTATGAATCTGTAGACATGTAGATTTCTGCTTGTTAAAATATTCAGTACCAATGATAACCATGTCAGTTAGTATAGCTTGATTACCACACCATATTGTTTTACCTATCTACTGACATTTATTATTATGTTACTGTTCCTCGTCTGTCATTCCAGTATAAAAATGTGCAATTTCTATTACTGCCATGCTAATAATATAACTTGCCTGTTTTACTATGCTTGACAGAGCTGTTGTGGCATATAAAG